TGTGCTGAAGGTCTCTAGGGCGCATACTGGAACATACCAATCAATATGCCATCTTTTTACCTTGGAGAGGCTTGGAATTAAAAATCCAAGGAAGGGCTGCTAAGCTCTTGGCTTCTAAGTTTCCCTGGACCCCAGGGCTGGAAGCTCCTTGGCTTGGCTTTTTTCTCTAGCTTGTTCATTAACCTGCTGTGACCAGGACAGAAACAACTCACTCACAGCAGGACCTGCCCAGGCCCTGGGTTTAGGAGCCTGGGTCTTAACATTTAGACAGGGTGGGGTTCAAACCTAGCTGTGTAACCTCTTTGTGCCTCAGTTCCTTCATCTTTGAAATGGGGACAGCAGTGCCTACCTCTTTCATTGGGTCATAGTGGGATGAAATGTAAAAGAGTGGGCTGTGAAGTCCACGACCCAGCACGCAGTTCATAGAAAAGTCTGGCTATTCTGGTTACTTAATGCTCCTTGTCCAAAGACTGCAGACTCCTTCCTGAGGATGCCTGTCGCTGTTTTTCGTGGGACAGAAGGCTCAGTGCTGGGTGCATCCGAGAAAAGTGGGTGTCAAGATATTATTTCCCTCTGGCTTTCCCTTTCAGAAACTGCTTGTGTTTTCTGGGCGAACCCACTCGCCTGGAACAGCACCAGCTGGAGTGGTGCCTCCCTCAACCAGCTAGTGCCTGTTCTCTCCACAGGTGGAAATAAGGGGAGTGTGGGACTTTTTTCCTACCCTGTGCTCCCTGGGATTTCTTCCCCTGTAACATGAATTGTTCAATGAGAATAGTGTAATCCTTTTCCACATAGTCTGTTTCAGCCAATAAAGTGTGGGGTTTCTTGTTGCCCTGATCATTTGCTCCAACCAGAAGCATTAAATGTTTTAGATTTGTACATACTACTACTGTCTACTTCCTAAAACCCTGCAGGTTTCTCTTGGCTCCTTCAAGAATTACCCAGCTGCTGTTTCTAAGACTCTAGAGCCTTCTGAACAGGGGTTATATCACGCTCAGGGGTTGCAAATTACTTTTTGGGGGAGAGGGGCACATTTTTAATATATAAAGCACAGCTGTATTAGTCTCCTGGGGATGCCATAATGAATTACCACAAACTAGGTGGCTTAAAAACAACAGAAATTGATTCTCTTCCTGTTCTGGAGGCCAAAAGTCTGAAATCAAAGTGTCAGCAGGCTCCAGGAGAGGATCCTGCCAGCCTCGTCCAGCTTCTGGTGGCTCCTGTTGTTCCTGGGCTGATGGTCACATCACTCCTACCTCTGCCTCTACCTTCCCGTGACCCTCCCCCTTGTGTCTGCACTTCCTGTTAGGACACCAGTCATGGAACGTAAGGCCCCCTTAATCCAGTATGATTTCATCTTGAGGTCCTTAACTAATTATATGTGCAAAGATCCTACTTCCAAGTAAGGCCACATTAGTAGGTTCTGGGTCGACGTGGATTTGGGGGGACACACTGTTCAACCCACTGCATATGAATATAGCATATAAACAGATACATGTGCAGTTTATTCATGGTCTTAAATGCAGATCCCTGGAGCCCACTCACCGCTGCTGACTTGGAATTTTGGGGTTAGGTTCCTGGATTCTACCTGCCGGGGTGCAGGTGAAGGTAAGGGCCCTTCTGCCCTTCCCCTGGGGTTTTACCCAAGTCCCAGCATTGCATCTGAGGATGGCCACAGTCCTGAGGTCAGGAGGGGTTCCATTGTTTTGAAGCAGGAGGCCAAGGACTATCACTTGGGGAGCAGAGAAGGTGGGGTTCCTTTGCATGACAGCATTAGGGCCACCTGTTTACAGCAGCTTCTGTTACTCAGCCCTGCCCAGCACATCTGAGGGAGAGGAAGTGGCCTTTGCCGGCCCCAGTAGAGTGCATTCACTCGTTCCCTGTGACCTTTCCGTGGATTTCTCTGGGACTGTGTGTGAGGACTCTCAAAGGAACAGTCAGCTGACTCATGGGTGTGCCAGACGTTGATAAAGACGCAGCTCCCTGGTGCAGATTATCCGGTCACTGCTGACGTCTGTCTCCACAGAATCACCTCCCCAGAGCCTCCTGGGATTTGGGTCTGGAGAGAACAGAACATGCCAGGGCTCCCTGTGGCTCAGAAACTGCCTCTGGGACAATTCTTCCTCCAAGGCCAGGGCTTGCGTCCAAGGCAGACCTCTGGGGCCTCTGTGGAGGAGAGTCTCAGGGCGCTGGTGTGGGAGTTTGGGCAGGGCCTGGAAGGAGCTGGAAAGAGCTGGAAGGAAAGGTGCTGGGTAGCCCTCAGGGATGTCAGAGGTGACTGTGGATTTCAAACTTCTCCCCTCCCCAGCCCTCTCTCCCTCCCCTCCCTTCAGTGCCTCCCCCAACACAAAGCACTCCTGAGGACTGTGGGCCCCCAGAAAGCATGATTTGAAACCTCTGAATTAAGAGTTTCCTGGAACCATAACTTTTCGGAGATGGACCCCTTTGAGAACCTGTTGAGAGCTGTGGCATCGTACTTGAATTCTGTTTCCATTGCCCACCCATTGGCTCCGGAATTGGAACTCTTCTCTAGGGTCTTTCCTGATGCTAAAGTTTTATAGAGAATGCCAACACCTGAGACATATGCCACCATGATAACGGCCCAGCTCACAGAGCTCTCAGGGCTCCAAGCCAGGCCATCAGGACTTCTGGTCCACACTCCACCCCGGCCGTGAGGTGGGGAGGGGGTCCTTGTACTGCCTCAACTGCATCATGTTACTCCCCAGCCTGCAGTCCTGAAGATTCATGACTTTACTTCTTGTACGTATGTGTCACATGTGTCCCTCCACCACCAGATGTAGGTAAGGTATTGGAATCTTGGACATTTTCTTGACTTTCCCTGGACCATGTCCCATCTAAGCCCTGCAAATGTCCAAGTCCAAAGTGTGCCTCTTCTGGAATGGCACGTTATGAGTGTCAGACTCTTTGGGTTGCCAGAAACCCAAAAATCTAACACAGTCTGCCTCATGCAAAAAATGGGTATTTATTGGTCTGCATAATCGGGAACTCCAAGAATGATACTGGCTTCAGGTATAGCTGAATCTAGGGGCTGAAACGATACGCCCTTTCTTTCTTGGTTCAGTTCTCCATGTCGACTTCACTTTCCTCCTCCCTGTGGCCCATACCCTGGAAGCTGGATAATCCCAGTGGAGTTTCTTCCCCCTGGTTCCAGAAGTTCAGGGTGGGCTCTGATTAGCCAACTGGGACATATGTCTATCTCTGAACCATTTGCTGATGCCACCTGGACTTGGGGGGAGGCACGGTGCCAGCCAAACCACAAGGATGGACAATGGGGAAGAGGTAGTGCCCCAACGCATCTTGACGGAGGCCTGTGGTTATGGCTCTTGATGCCCTGCCCACCTCCCCTGGATGATCATTACCACAAAGGGTATTATCTTAGATCTGGATGCAAGAAACTTCAATTTTCTCTTCACTGGCTACCTCAAGTATGCTTGGCTCCTGTGTAGAGCAGGCTGCAGTGCCAGGGAGTTAACCCCCAGGGGCAGCCCTCAACCCATGATGCATATTGGCTGATGGACACGCCAGCGTTCTCCGTCCTTCGCCTGTGGGTGGCACAGGTGTCCTCTACTCTCCTAGAGGCCCCAGTGGGGTGAGCCTGGCTGCCCACAGTGGGAAGCTGCTTACTAAGGTAGCACGAAGGCTGCCTTACCTTCTCCCCTCACTCCCTTGTCGTCCATCCAGGGATTCTTGGGGTCACCTCCCAAATACACTACCAGCCCTCATGTCCTCACCTCAGGTTCTGCTGCTGGGAGGGCCCGGCCTGAGACGGGGCAGTTACTGAAAGAGGGACTGGATGACAGGCAAAGAAGATGGCTACTCCTAGGACACAAGGAAGGTGAACGTGACCCAGATGCTGAACCGGGGACCCCTGTGGCACTCCACGGCAAGCCCTCCTCAGGTACTTCCCCGAGCCTGAAATCCAGCAAGTCCATGCACAGAACTGCAAAACTGCAGTTTTCCAACCCAGCTGCCAGCACTGCCAAGGATGGGTAGAGAGGCCCTCTGCAGAGGCTGGAGCTTTCAGGACAACTTTCTACAGCCTGTTGCCTCAGAGCCTCTGGGGTGCTCCCTGTAGATTCCTGGACCCCTCTCCTTCTGACACTGACTCAGTGGGCCTGGCATGGGGTCCAGAAGTCTGGAATCCTAGAACGTTCCTGGGGAAAACATTCTGACCTGCAGCCAGGCTCGGAAACTGTGCCTTAGGAATATGCCACAATGTTCCTAAGGTGCCTGGGAACTTGGCTGAGCTCTTGCCACTGTGTCTTACCCCGGAACATCAGATCAGACCGAGGCTGCTTGATGCATTAAAAGAAAGCAAAATACAAAATGAACCTTCTAGGTAGGGTTGAAAAACAAGCTGCTAAGCAGTGTGATACATATTCATGGGGCGGCTGCCAGGCAAGTCTTGAAGACCCCTAATAGCCACAAGTTACAAACTCTGATACTCACAAGGCCAGGAGGTAACAGGTGAGGGGAGCTGGCTGCTGGGGCTGCATGAACTGGCAGGAGCTGCAGATCCTCAGCTCTGGCAAGCCCTTGCCTTGTCAGGGCACCAGCTGGGGTCCCTACCTCTCTCTCTTTTAAAGAAAAAACAGAAACCTGAAGTTGTTAATCTCTTTTAAACACTGGTAACTAATTTAAATTCTATTAAAATACAGTGTGCACTAAACCTTTTCCATTCAAAGTGTGATTAGGGCAGGCTTGGTACCACCTGGGAGCTTGTTAAGACTTAAACTCTTAGCCCCAGGCTAGAATCTGCATTTTAATAAGATCTTCAGGTGACTCATGTACACATTAAAGTGAGAAGCCCTGAATTAAACAGAACATAGGGAGCTGGAAGTGCTCTGGGCTGCCTGTTCAAGACTCCTGACTCAGGTAAGGCAACCCCACCTGTTAAGACCCAGGAGTGCCCTGAAGTCCAGAATTCAGAATTCAGCCTTTAATTTGATCAATTTATTCAAGTAGTATAAAAACCCTCTCGGTGGTAGGACGAAAAAATAAAAAGCCTGTAAACATGATTTCATCCCCCATCCCATCTAAGGAGCTTCCTGTGATAGGAAACAGAATCCTGGTTGGCAAATGCAGTGATGTGGCCATCGTCTCTTTAATCCACCCCAGTCCAGGGGGGCTGGTTGGACCCTGCCACCTGGTCACGATGCGGTGAGTGTCATCCGCTAGCGGCCCCTGCCCCAGGAGGCTGGAGGTTCTTCGGCAGAGGCCCCTGCGGGACTGGCCTCATGGCAGCAGACACAGGCAGGCGAGGAAGGAGGAAGTCTCTCTCCAAGGAACATTGTACTGCTCAGGTTGCTCGTGCCATGGCAGACATCCAGGTGAGAGCCAAGGGCCAGGGAGGGGCTGAGGCACAGGTGCTATCAGAAGCCTGGCTAGGCACTAGGGCTGAGACCATCCAGAGTTAGTGGCCTTGGACTTTGCCCTGCAGAAGCCAGACTGCTTGAAACGAGTCTCCAAAACAGGCCATGATGGACAGCTGGAGGTTTCAGTCCTTGAAGGAGTTGCAGGCATCACCTGGCTGATCTTTCTCGGCAGGTGAGAGCTCCCCGTTCATTTCCTGAAGCGGGTGGTAGACATAGGACCCGTCCAAGTGCCGACTCCGCTCTCCTCTGGAGCCGAGGAACAAAGACACGTTCACCACCATGCTGATCAGCAGAAGAAACACCAGGGCCAGGGTGAGGGCCAGACAGGTGGTCCTGGGGCAGGAGAGAAATCCCGCGGATTGAGGGCTGCGGCAGCACTGGAGGGTCATTCCTCCCTCTCACTTTGCTCTTCCACCCAGAACAAGGGCATAGAGCTGGGGCCTCCAAAAACCAGAGTGACTGTCAAGGAGCAAACTGAGCCTTGTGGGGCTGAGGCACAACTCCAGACACATGTCTGGAGAGCAGCGGGAACAGCTGTGATGTGGGATGCACCCAGTGCTGCCGTATCTCCTGATGTTTCAAGAGAAACCATTAAAATAAAAGGGTTTTATGTAAATGCTACTGATTTTCAGATGTTAGTAAATCTTTTAAAAACATTAAATTGTGAAGACCAACTCAAATGACCTAATCCAGCCCTGGGAAGCACCAGTTTGCATCCTGTGCTCCACAGGATGCTGACAGCAGACAGAGGCTGGACTCTGTTCCAGGGTCCTCACAGCAGACAGAACAGGGAGAACTGACACCCCTTCCTTCCAGGCAGGAGACGGTGGGCACAGGGCGGTGTCTTTCAACAGGGCGGTGTCTTTCAACGATCTTTTTTCCTTCCTACGAATCTTCGGCTGAAGCCCTCAAGGCAGAAGAGAACGCCGGCAGACTGCTGGGCGCAGGACCTGCAGCCACACCCGCCAGCCCCCAAGGTTCCCTTTCCCTCGCTGGTGGCTGCTAATGGATTCTAGGTCTCGGGTGGGGTTCCTCAGAGTCTCACACCTGAGAAGCCTCAGCTTAAGGCCAGGGGTTGGAGCACCTGTCCCTGCCCTGGTGCATTTCGAAAGCACATTTTCAGTTTTCTCCAGGTCCTACCCCACCAGACTCTGGGTCAGGATTCCCCAGGAGGGACCTGGCATCTGCTCCCAGGTGCTGCCCTGCAACAACACTGGGAAGCTCTTCATTCATACCCACACCTGGTTTCCACCTCCAGAGGGGGCTGGGCAAAGTGGTTCAGGCCAGGCACCCAGGGAGGTGAAAACCATGAGAAGCAAGGTTCTCGAAGCAGGTCCGGGGACCGTCTCAGCATCACCTGGAGTGCAGATGCTCGGGCTCCTCCCCAGACCTACTGAGGCAGAAACTCTGGGGATGGGGCCCAGCACTCTCTTAATACACCCTCCTCCCTGAGGTCAGGTTTGAAAATAAAGCCTCAACACATGGCCTGAGTGCAAATAGATGCCTGAGAAATAATGCTGGTTCCTTGGGGCTCGGTGCTCCTGTACCGGGGGCTGAGAACAAGTTGAGTGTCATGGCCAAGGACAGTAAGCCCATGTCCAGACCCCTCAACTCCCATGGGGGTGGTGACCAGGGTCCTTCTCACCATATCCCTTTGGGCATCAGCTGTGACTCCCTGCGCTCATGTCAGAGAAATGTCACCTGGGTGCCTATTAGCCTTGCCCAGTCCTTTGAAGGTAGAGGGGGTCTCCTCCCACCCCCTGCCCCAGGTCCCACCAAAGCACTTACCCAGTGGGAAGCGAGAATTCTTTTGTCTGCAGGGTGACCTCGGATGGCTGGAGACACTGCTTCACTGTAAGACACCAGGGTGAGGCTGAGGGTCTGGGAGGGTCCGAGTCTGCCTTCTCCTGCCCCCGGGGGCCTTGGGAGGGGCTGTACCTCGGGAGAGAATGCTGTTCAGGGCGGATGTCTGAGTGAGGTTGCAGCTGCCAGTCTGGGGGTCGCAGGGACACTGGTACTCACACTCACAAGGCTTCTGGCAGCCTGGCCCATGCCAGCCCAAGGGACACTCTGCAGTGAGGAGACAGGGACACAGAAATGGAGGCACTACTGGCAGAGCCTCTATCTGAACTGACAGAATAGGCCCAAGGTGTGTATAGGGCCAGGCTAAAGGAGAGGTGCACCCATCTACACACATACTCCCTCAGGCCAGACCCCGGAGGTGCCCTGGGTGGTGCTCCCCCCTGGCTGACTCAGAGGCCCGTCTGGCTTACCCTGAACACAGTTGTCACCAGTGAAGCCAGGGGGACAGGTGCAGGTCCCCCTGGCTGGGTCACAGGCAGCTCCATTCTGGCACTGGCACTTCTTGGCACAGTCCTCTCCGAAGGAGCCATTGCTGCAAGCTGGGATGGGGGAAGGAAGGTCTTTGCAAAATCTGGCCCTGTCCCTCCCAGGCTGGGATCGACAGGGTTGCAAATGGACCTCAGTCACTCTGAGTGGTATTTAGGCTCATATGTATTCTCCCAATAGAGTCACTGAAAATGTGCCAGGCCCTGAGACTATGCACTCACGGAGCTTCCAGTCTAGAAGGGCAGGTAGCCAGCAAGCTAGAAAGCAAATGTCAAAGCACAAGTGAGGAGAAGTACTGCGGGACATGACCTCTTGGCAGCAGCAAACCACTGAAGGGTGTGGTGGTGGGGAGGCCTCTGAGGACCTGACATTAGGCTGAGACTTAGGAGGAACAGAATGGGCACACCAAGCAGGGAGGGGCTGGAGTGCCCAGGGCCTGGCAGGTCACACTGAACAGTTTGAGTTTTTCACTAAGTGTGAAAGAAAGCCTATGAAGGGCTTCCGCTGTGTATGGTTGTAGTGGATTGAATTGCTCCTCTCCCCAACCCCTACCAAAATATGTCCTAGTTCCTAGAAACTGTAAATGGGAACTTACTCGGAAATAGGGTCTTTACAGATACATGTAAGTTAAAGACCTTGAGATGAGATCATTTTAGATTTAGGGCAAGCCCTAAATCCAGTGACCAGAGGTCCTCAGTAAGATAACAGAGAGGGAGACTGATCACACAGGAAGGTCATGTGAAGACAGAGGCAGAGATTGGAGTGATGTGGCCACAAGCCAAGGAATGCTGGAAGCCAAGAGCTGGAAGAAGCAGGAAGGATCCTCCCCTAGACCTTTCAGAGGGAGCATGACTCTGACGACACCTTGTGTGCCAGAGGATCCATTTCTGTTGTTTTAAGCTGCCTAACTTGTAGAATTTGTCGCAGCAGCCCCAGGACACTAATGCGGTGATTTACATGTGAGGCGAGAGCAAGAGACAAGAGGCAAGCGACGTGCAGACCAAGAGGCAAGGATGAAGGCAGCTGCCACAATTACCATACCCTCTCCCCGTGTGCCTGGGGGCGGGGGAGGGGCTGGCCTGGTGGCTTTTACCTTCACTGCAGTTGGACCCTGTCCATCCAGCTTCGCAGCGGCAGCCGGCTGCCAAGACAAGACCAAGAAGGTCAGGTGAGGGCCCAGGCAGAGCTGGGCAGGGAGAGCTGGGAGCCTGGGTTAGAGCTGCCTCCCCCGAGCCCCCACTCACTCTCTGTGCAGAGCCCGTGCTGGCTGCAGTTGGCGGGGCCACAGTCCAGCTTGTTGCAGGCGTCACCCCGCCAGAAGTGTCCCGTGCACTGGCAGTGCCCCTCCACACAGGTCCCATGGCCGTTGCAGTCAGGTGGCTGGCAGCGGGGCTTGTGCACACACACCACAGTGGACACACTTCGAGGACAGCGCCACATGTTGTCCTGGCTGCAAGGGGACACTGTGTTTGAAGAGGGGCTGCAGCGCCGGCCATCCCCAGCCGGCCCCTCCGACGGCCTAACTCCAGTCCATGAGAGCTGCCTTTCTCCATTGCCCCACCTCCAAACTTGTTACAGGTTCTTCATAACCCCCCCAGTCCCCTCACCCTAGGGCCTTTGCACATGCTGTTTTTTCTTCCCAGAAGGCTCTTCCACCCCATCTACCTACCTACCTCCTCTTCTTGCAGATCTCAGCTCATGCTTCATTATCCTCAAAGTTTTTTTCCTGACTAATCAATCCCCTTTCACCAGCTCAGGCAGTGCTGGTACACTAAGTATACTTCCTGTAAGCAGTGAGAGGCAGGGATCCTGGCTCTTCCTGCTCGTTGCTGAATCCCAGGGCCTGGCACCTAGGTACCCAATATTTGTTGGCTGAGACAGTCAAGAACAGGGCTTGGACATGGACCTCAAGAAGGGGACTCTGGTGCGTTTACCAGTGATCCGATGGGTAACTGGCCAAGGTCCCGTTGAGCACGAAGGTAGCGGAGCCCCCGCCGTCCAGGTTGATGGCATTGACCACATCCTGTTTCAGCAGGAACTCTGCCATCTCCCACAGGTTAATGCTGCAGCACAAGGGCAGCACTGTTGACAGCACCCACCACCATTTCTGGTTTAATTCCTCTTACTTTCCATGGTAGATGGTATCGGGTCCACGTTGGCAGGAAAATTTCTACATGGCCCCCAAAAGATGTCCCCTCCTAATCCCCAGAAGCTGTGAATATAATGAGAGATCACTCCCATGATTATGTTACGCTACATGGCACAGCTGTCCACAAATGGGGTCACTGTCCTGGATTATCTGGGTGGGCCCGATGGAATCACAAGAGCCCTTTCAGAGAACTTTCTCTGGCTAGTGGTGGAAGAGGAAGTGAGAGAGACTGGAAATCCAAGGGGATCAGAGGGATCTGACACATCTTCTGGCTTGAAGACAGAGGGTATACACACGCGAGGCATGTGGGTGGTGTGGGAGCCGAGGCCCTGGCTGGCAGCCAAGAAGGACACAAAGACCGCAGTCCTACAACTGCAAGGAACTGCATTCTGCCAACAACCTAAATGAGCTGGGGAGAGGGTTCCCCCCGACCCAGGAGCTCCAGATACGTGCCCTGCGTGGCCAACAGCTTGACTCTGTCATGGAATGCCCTGAACACAGAGCCCAGTGAGCCCTCTGGACTCCTGACTCACGGAACTATAATGTAACAAATGGGTGCTCATTTGTTACACAGCAATAACACAGTGATACACTCTATTTACAGAGCAGAGAACTGTGGCTCAGAGGGGTTGAGTGACTGTTTATGGCCACAGAGCTAGCAGATAGCCAAGCTGGGACTGTAACTGAGGTCTTCTCCCTGCTAACTCTGTGATCATTTCCTTTCACCCCAAATGAGGCTCAGGAGGGAGGAGGCCTACAATGAGGAGACGGAGAAGAAGGTTGTGGGGGATGATGTGTTCTTGGAAGTGGTACAGACTATGGGAGGGCAGGGGACAGATGGGTATGAACACCCCCAGGGAACAGCTGGAGGGCAGAGGCGAGCCACTGGTGGGTTCAAGTTCCTCAAAACGGGACTCAGCCCAGACCAGAGGCTCTGGTTCCTGGCACTCACCCTCGCTGTTCTGTTTGCCCATCTGCATGGAACAGCACCAGCTGCCCCTTCCGGTCATGACCCACAGCTGTCCTGGCTGATATCACATTCACAAATTTGCTGAAGGAACCTGAAAGAAAAGCAGCTGGGCTGATCACTGGCCCTTTGGGAGGCCTTCTCGGCTCTGTCTAGTACTTCCTGCCAGCCCAGCGCCACCTGCCGGTCCACGTCATCGAGTATTTCACTGCTTCCCCACTGCCCCATTCCAGACAGTCTCACATGGGAGCCAAAGGGCCCTTCCTAAAATGTAAATCAAGTAATGACAGCCCCCAAGTGAAAACCCTCTTATGGCTTCCATCGTTCTTAGAGCAATATCCAAATACCTTTCCAAGGCCCAGCATGACCATTCTGGCCTGTTCTACCTTATCACCCTGCGCCACTTTCTGTTCCCTCTGGCTGGACTGCACTTCTCCCCAGCTCTTCCCATGGCTTGCTCCTTCTGATCTAAGTCACCTCCCCCATGAGGCCGTCCCTGACTGCCCATTCTAAAACAGCCCAATTCCACGTTAGGGCCATGATCTCCCCTTCCCTGCCCCAGCATTCCACATCTCAGTGATTTTCAAACTTTGAGTGTCCATCAAAATCACCCAGGGGCAATTGTTAAAACACACAAGCTTGGGCCTCGCCCCTAGGGATTCTGATCCTGTAGGTTAGAGGTAGGTCTGAAGTTCTGAATTTATAACAAGCTCTTGGGTGACACAGATGCTGCTGCTCCACGAGCATTTTAGTAGCACTTTTCTATTCCCTTGCCAGTAGCCCCTTTCTCGCAACTTAATTTTTCTTTCTTAGCACTTACCACTTCTTTTTAGCAAATTATAGTTTTCTCCCTTATATATTGAGCAAGCACCTTATCTGTCTTAAGCCCTGATCCCCAGCACCTAGAATAGTACTTACTGAAAGACTCCCCCCACGACCCCACTGGTCTGGGAGTGCTGTTGCCTCCCCCACCCCACCTGTCTCCTGTGTCTCATCGCACTCAGCCGCCTGGCTCTCGTTGATGTAGATGCTTCCATTCCGAATCAGCCACACGACCCCACTCAGCAGCTGCACAAATGGATTCTCAGTGTCCAGCACCTCCGCTTCAGACAGGTACCTGAACACAGGGAAGGTGTGAGGTTCACTTACAGACAGGAGCAGCTGTGGGTGGTGGGGCTCCTTCCTCCTCACCCCACCCCTAAAAGCCTGGCTGCCCCAGGAACCTGCCTGGTCCTGATCCCCAAAGTAGCCTTATAAACAGTCTACACAGTCCAGGCTACATGTCATCTAATAGAAACAACCTTTAATTTCCCAGGCTGGCATCCTGGCCAAACTATCACCTAATGTCTGTACACTCTTAACTGGCCTCCTTGTTTCTACTATGGCCCTCCCAGCCTAGTCTCCAGCCGGGGTCAGAGAAAGCTTTTAAATAATCACAGTGAGTCCTATCATCCATCCTCTGATACTGGGCCCTTCCTTCAGTCCTTCATACACGCCAAGCTCCTATGCACCTCTGAGTCTTTGTGCTTGCTGTTTCTTCTGACTGCAATGCTTTCCCCCTTGTTGTGACCCTGGCTAACCTGTGATTAATCTTCAGGCCTCAACTCAGATGTTACATTCTCAAACAAGTCTTTCCTGATCATCCTCCCTAAAACAAACATTATAATCGGTTCGTCGTGTTCATTGCTTCACTGCACATACACAACCTGAATTCATCTCAATTATCTCCCTGGCTTTTGTTTATTTTTCTTAATAATGTGAGAGGTCCGTGAAGGCAAAGGCTGTTTGTGCTTGTTCACTGCTACACATATCTCCAGCACATAGCACATTACCTGACACAAAACAAGGGCTCAATGATAGTGAGTGAGGAATAAGCCCTGCAACGTGGGTATCACTACCCCCATTCTGCAGATGAGGAAACAGAGGCTCAGCCTGGCTAGGTGGGTAGAATACAGCAGTACGGGTACAACTCAAATCTCAGGCCCTGTACCCACGACAGTCACGGGGCTCCATGCTTCCTCACCCGGTGACCAGGGTCCCGTCGCGGCGTATCCCGAACTGCGCGTTCTGTATGCCCCCGGCGCTGCTCACCCGCTGCCCGTCGCTCACCACGTTCCCCAGGCACTCGCCGGTGTCCATGCGGAAGAAGCCGCCGTTCTGGGCGACACTGCAGCCGGCCTCCCGCACAGTCTCTTCCACCGTGGCGCGGCGCCTCGACGCGCACCCGCCGGGCCCGCCGGGCTCCAGCACCGAGAAGGTGCGCAGGGGCTGCGCGGCCCGGGTCAGGTGGCCTGTCACAGCGCGGTCCGCGAAATGCGAAACGAAAGTGCGCACAGACGGACCGCGGGCGCCGGTGGTCGCGGGGGAAGGCTGCCAGCTCTCGTGCTCGCGGCCGCCGACGCGCACCCTGGCGCAGTCCCGGGCTGAGCGCGCGCGCACGCGGGGGTAGGGCAGCAGCAAGTCGTCGTCCAGGGAGGCCCTGCGCAACAGGGACGGCCGCGAGCTTAAGGGGCTGCGGCCGGGCAGGGGCTACCCCAGACCTGGCTCTTCCCGGACCACCCCCGAGAGTTGTACTCACCCCCAACTGAAGCGGCCCGACACCGTCCAGAGGAGCATAAATAATAGAAGCCGGCGACCCATGGAGGCCGCCATGTTGGACTCGGGCCTCCGCTCACGTGGGCCCTACCCACGTTACTCTAGACCTCTGGCGGCAGCTTTCAGCTCGGACAGAATTGGTGCCTTCCTTCGGACGTGGGTGTGTGGGGAATCTAGTCCTGTAATTCCCTGTGCTTCTTGGGAGGGGCGTGGTGCTGGGGTGGTGGCGGGAACTTTGAATGTTGATGTAATTTCAACCCTCCAGAAGTTGCAAGAGCGGTATAAAGAACTCCGGTATAGGGGAAAAATTGGGACAACTGTAACAGAATAACAATTAAAAAACCAAAAAATTCCAGTATACCTTTTACTTATCTTTACCAACTTTTAACGTTTGCCCCATTTGCTTCAGTATTTGTATTTTATTCATATGCATTTCTTTTTAAACCATTTGCAGCCAAGTTGCAGACATCATGATCCTTCATTTCAATAATAAACTATGGATCGTATACCAACAAGGACATTTTCTTGTATAACCACAGGCCAAATAAAATCCAGACATTTCATACTGGTAGAGTTCTATTAACTATTCATAGTTCATATTAGGATTTCGTTAATTATCCTTATAATGTCCCATTAAAAAAGAAGCAACGAGCCCCAAATGGAGTAACTTGTGCTAAGCCCCACATCGCCAAACAGAAGCTTAATACCTAAACTAATTGCAATTTCAGCCCCTCTCAGGAAGGTAATCTTAACCTGTCAGTCTGGATTTTCCTGGTCAGCACTATAGAGGCAATGTGTGTAGACAAAAAAGTGGTTCTATGAAAAGTGACCTCACAGGGTAACCCCACAAGTTCTTAACCTGAGCAGGTCATGTCCCAGTCATATAACTTCTGTAGTGAAAGGGTTATCTTTGCTTTACGCAAGCCAGGTCCATTGTTTCTGTGCATCTAGGTTAACACACTTTTGAAATCGCCCCCTCCCTTTTAGGCCCCTCTTTCTAAAGCAAGAGAGCACACATTTTAACTATCTATATTCCAATCCCTGCTTTGCTTTCTCCCACCTCCCTGTAATCTTCCTTATACCCCCTCCTTAATCTCAAATGGATCAAAGAAACTGTTATTCTCTGAAAGATTTTTCTCAATCTGTTAAGATCTTGCTTCCAGGCATGTCCTGTGTTTAGCTCAAATAAATTATTGTAAAAATTCTCTACAGGATTGGACGTTCTTATACCAACATGTGCCTGATAGACTCCTTTTGTCTCTTGAAGGAAGTGATCTTGCCTTAAACAATCCACTTTTTCTCCTTCTGCGTATAAAAGCCTTCCATTTTATACGTCTCCTTGAGCTCCTTTCTAATTGCTAAGTTGGATACTGCCTGACTCATGAAACATTTAACAAAGCCAATTAGGCCCTCACATTTATGAAGTTGAATTTTTTTTAATAGTCCTTTGTAGCTAATTTCCTCACAATCCAGAATCCAACCCAGGAGTTGCATTTAATTGTCATGTGTCTTTGGTCTCCCCGAATCTGGAACAAGTCCTCAGCCTTTCTTTGTCTTTAATGATCTTGACATTTTGGAAGAGGATGGGCAGGTCATTACATAATTTGCAGGGATCCTTGTTAAAATATTAAGAATTTCAGGACATCGAGAGCAGAGTGTGAAAGCAAGCTTGGGACCCCTCGGTGCACAGGCCCTGATACCTGCACAGGCCGGAAGCCCATGAAGTTGGCCTGTCATTTTGTAGCATGTATTTCAATAATCCTTTGACAGGACACTTCTTTTCAGGCCTCTGTTCCAGGGCAGTGTCCAGGGTTAGGTGGCACCTGTTGGTGCCAGTGCAATGCATGGGCCACCTGGGAGCCAGCACAAGTCTAGCTGGCCTTTGAGGCCACGGGTGCTCAGGGCCAAGCCATACCCTTTCTGTCTACAATCAGTACAATCAGTGCTTAAATCTAGACCCTTCTTTAAGCCTCTGCTCCTAAGGGCCTTTCAGGGTGAGTGTACTGGGTTGGATTGTGTGTCTACACCACCCCCCGCCCCCCCGCCCCCCGGCCCTGCTGAAACATAGAACGTGAACTTCTAGGCAAGTAGGATCTTTGCCGATGTGATTAGTTAAGATGAGATGATACCGGAGTAGGATGGGCCCTAAATCCAGTCTGACCAGTGTGCTTATAAGAGACACACACACAGAGACACACAGAGAGAAGGTGGCCATGTGAAGACAAGCAGAGACTGGAGTGAGGTAGCTATAAGGAAGGCATTCCGAGGAGTGCTGGCATCCCTTGGGAACTAGGAGAGTGGGGTGGAACAGACTCTTTCTTCAAGGCTTCAGAGACCTGCTGATGCCTTAATTTCTAAACTAAGAGTCAGTGACCTCAAATGGGCCCCAAAGAGCATCTCTGAAGCCTGTGGAAGAACCAAATTTGGTTGACATCAGTTAACCATATTCAAAATGACTGCTCCTCTTGGGGATGAAATGATCTGTCCTGATGCAGATATATTGATGTGGAGGGATTAGTTCTTTCTGTTTCAGGCTGCCCAAACCATCAGCAAACAAGCAAAGGCCTGCCACCAACTTCCCTGCTTCTGTAGTCCTCTTTTCTCTGTATCAATTGAGAGTTGGCAAGTGGCGGGCATTCTCCGGCCAGTTCTGACCTTTGGTCTTTTCCCTACTTTGATGTTTGCTACTCCTTTGCCAAGTTGCTCTAAGCACAAGTGCCACAGAAATCCTCCGTTTGAACTGAGCAGGCTGTTACATTAATTAAATAAGGAGGCTATTAGACTGATGTCACTCTAATGCCATGGCTGTCTGCAAAGTAACCCAAAACTTAAACCTGTAAATGCCTCAGGGTTATGAAATCAAACTGCTAAGGACACCCATAAACAGTAAACTAGGCTTTAAGCTATAGCCCATCAGTTTCCTTCTGTTGCTTCCCTGCTTTCTCCATAGGAGTCTTCCCCTGGCTCCTGGGGCCAAGTTGACCAAAACACTTCCAGTTTGGTGCTCCCTGATTTGAACTGATTTTTGCTCAGATAAACTCTTAAAATTTTAAATGTGCCTCAGTTAATCTTTTAAGAAGCCCAGACCCACAATTCTAGCCAAATCAGCTAGCTGACTCAGGGCCTTCTCCTTTGCTCACATCTATTTTTCACTTGGAATATCTCAGTCTCCTCTTAGTATCCTCATCTGGGTTCCACTGAGGCAGGATAAATGAGAAGCTAGGGAAATTCCTTGACAAGTGGAATAATGGAAACCAAGACAAAATAATTAAACAGGCCAAATACTTTGAGCAATTTATGGTCAACTAATGAATCACAAGGTTTTATCTTCCACAACCAAGGACCCTTAGGAGCAAATGGTTTACACATTCCAGACCTTCCTGGGGCAGACCAGTTTTGGTCCTGGTCCCTGGTCCCTTTTTGATAACATGCTTTAAAGATAAAACTAACCAGAAAAGTAACCTTGATCCCTTTATATACACATTTTAATGAATCAACATATTGAGGGAGACACCTGAAAAGCTAATAATTCTGTTAAGACTCTCCCCTGAGACCTCCCCTAGGATTCTGGCCAGCAGCCAAAGAAAGATAAAAAGCCTTAAGAAAAAGAATCCAGGGCGCCTTCTCCCTTGCAGGAGCACGCCAGCCCCTTTCCCTTCCCATACTTCTTCCCCCATAGGCACTGTTCTCAGCTTTAACGAACATGCTCAATACATTGCATGCTTTCACTAGAGCACACCCAGGCCTTCTATCTCTGCTGTTTTTTCCCCTAAACTCTATGGTACCCCCAGACTTGCAACCAGGGGAACAGTGGGCAGAAGCAGCCGGTCCTAGGCTAACCCCCGAACCTGTCTCCAAGGTCCTCTTTTCCTCTTTCTCCTGTCGCCTCTTCTACCTTGTCCTTCCTTTGTTTTGCTGTCCTTAGCTTTAATAAACATACTCTCAAAATCACCTGGACTCGTGTTGTGAAATTTTTCCTACACAAAGTCAATACTCCCATACTCCTGTTGGGCCAGAGGCAGACTTGCTTCAGGCCCAGACTCTGCCTGGTAACACCACCATCATTTGTGGATTCAACAGACTGAGTACCCCTAAGTGCTAGATGCTGATGAAACAGACACTGGCCCTGCCTTCCTGGATCTTAGATTTGAATGGGGAAACAGACGTTAAATGATGCAAGCGTGGTGAGAGCTGGGAAGAGGCGAGATGGAGAGAGAACAGTGCCCCCGGGGTGACGGGGAAGGTCTCTGTGAGCCCATTTAGACAGAGATGTAAAGGATAGGAAAGAAGGGACAGTTGTGGAGAGTTGGGGGCTAGAGTCTTGCAGGCAGAAGGCACTGCAGAGCCTGGAAGTAGTGCAGAGCTTGGCGAGAGGAGGAGGAAGGTCAGCCAACAAGGAGAGCAGGGCAAGGGCAGGGTTGAGGTGGGAGGGCCAGGTCAACCCAGATCCCACAGGGCTCGAGGCAAGTGAGTTTGGATTTTATCCCAAGTAAAATAGGAAGCCACTGACAGTTGTTTTTTTTTTTTTTTTTTTAAAGTTTTACTGAGGTATAATTTACACGTCATGAAATTTATCTGTTTCAGGTGTTAAATGTATAGTGCTATATCAGTATCACCTTAATTAATGCATTTTAGGACATTTTAATCACTCCCCCCCCCAAAGTTTTGTCGAGTGGTTTTATTTGTATTAAATTTCAGATAAAAACGCAAATCTGCAGACAGAAGACAGAAAGCAGATTAGTGGTTGCCTGGAGCTGGGGGTGGGAACAGGAAGTGATTGCAAACCTCTGGAGGGTTTTAAGCCTGAGTCTGACAGGACAGGCGTTGAGTGCTGCGGACTCCTTCTTGAGCCCTCAGTCCACAGGCTTGCTTTCCTCTCTGAGTTCAGCACCCTGTTCAGTGGTGGGGCACACATTTCCTGAAGGGGCTTCTTCTGTGGCTGTTTAGCTTTTCTGTGCATTCATCATTTCTGACTGAACATATAACAAAGCGTGTATCTTTGTGTTTCCTTTACTAACCTAGAACATGAACAACATTTATGCATTGGTATATGATTATAAATTGAGGGAAAGAATA